GTCAATACCAATAGCAGTCAATACCAATAGCTTCCATTTCAATAGTTGCACCTCCACTTCTAGCAGTAACATTATGGGGCCACTGTTAGCTCCACTCCACTCTACTAACAGTGCGACCTGCATTACAGCCCATTTATAAAATGTAGACTTTAGGGTATGTTAACCTGTGTCTTACAGAGTTTTTTTCCGGAAGTAAGTGAAGTGAAATACATTTGTAAAGCACATCAATGTGCCCTAAAACTGTTCACTGCTTATTTTTATAGCCGTGGCATGATTGTAACAGTCCATACTGCTGATTTATAAATGGACCTCTAGGCTACTGCATTGTCTAACAGGCACTAGAGTTTGACTGCATTGCTCTGAACACTTTACAGTCTTATCAGCCATTTCAGGCAGTAGTAGTACAAGGCATAGACCATTGTACATTATTTGTAGTACAATCACAAGATATACAAATCATGGAGTAGTACAGTTAGTCATGAAATATATCAATAACTAAACTGCTAAACAATTCAATCTTCTTTTCAAAATTTTCATAACAAAGAACTGCCTTACAGGTTATGAACTAATACCAGTGGATATCAAAGTAGGGTGAGACATCACAATATCCTAGGGTTCTGCCCTTTAGTATGTAAGGCTGGTTCAGATTCTACTATTCCCAACAGGCCATTCCCGTTCCCATTCCCAACAGGCCATGTGGATGATAATTAGAGCATATCCAAGCCTTGTTCTTTGGCCATATTGAACCAAAAGATTTATTTAAATATAATCATTGCATCCTTAAGTTATTGTAAATACAGTAGTTGTAAATTAGGTAATTTCTAAAAAGAATTTTTTAGTAAGTTTTGAGAAAACTTTTTAGAAGAAACAGCAGAAACCTTATTTTCTACACCACCCAATGCAGAAAAGTAAACTCGGCATCAATTAGATTTATCACTTTTGTTTACTCAGGTCTTGCTTGTGACCTGGACTGCAGGAAAACACTAGATATGGGGGGGCTGTGGGAGAGGTCACGATAGGCATAAGAAGTCCCAGAAGAAGCAACTGGCAGGGGCGGACTGACCATTTGGAAACTCGGGCACTGCCCGAGGGCCTGGGGTCAGTAGGGGGCCCCATGAGATGCCCCTGGTACCTTTTTCATAGGCTTTTTTCAGTTTGAGCAAGGACACAGGGGCCCCATGATCCCCTATTGCCCGGGGGCCCATGAGTTGTCAGTCCACCCCTGCCAACTGGGCATCCAAAGTCAAATTAAAAAAACCCCAGAAAACTCAATTCTATTCTGACCAGTATTCTAAGAACTCAATATGAAGCTTTACATCTTGCAGTACAGTCTTGGTAATGGGATATGATAACAGAATGAAATGTCATACTCACAAAGGTTTTGCACATCTTGCTGGCCGTTTACGGCAGTTGGAAGCTCAGGAGCTGCTTCGTACATCCCCAAAGCTGTGTCCTCGTCCTCCAGCTGGGACTCTTGACTAAACTTCTTTTTACCAGCTAACCAGTGTGAGGGCAAGGGAGTGTTGGACACAGAGCTCGACAGCAAAATGCAGACAGCCAGAACAGCCCATAACTTCATCTTAGAAAGACTTCCAAGAAAGGGACCTTCCAGGGAACAAAAACAGTAGAGAATATGTCATTTCAAAGGATTTCAAATGAGCTTCTTTATATTAGCTTTGCTACTCTCCTCATATAATAGGTTCAGAGAAGGTTGGCATTGGCCTTGCTTTCTTTAAAGTAGACATCCATCCTAGAATTACTTTATGAACTTTAAACAGCCATATAACACATGTTTCTTGATAAATGCATAGCACCATCTTTGCTTCTGACCATGCTTTGGTTGTCGAACAATCAGCATTGGAAATTGGCGGCCATTTACCAGTGACACTATGCAATTTATGTTGTTGCTCAGCCCCCTTGTACTAATTACGGCTTTGATAGCATCAGGGTCCACAGGATGGGTTTTCCCATAAGGACTTTGCCATCACAAGATGCAGACAGCATCAGGGAATGGGGGGGTGGATCAGCGACACCATAAGTTGCATGTTGTCTTGGATAAATGGCCAACGCCAATTGCTGGACAAATGGAGTGCAGACAGAAGTCTACCATAGTGCCATGCATTTATTAAGGTACATGCGTAAATTAGGGATGGCAGAGATGCAAACACCAAATTACAAAAAAAAAGCTAACTCTTCCATGTTCCATTTGGAATTAAGCTTTAAAGTGCAAGTCTGGGCAAAAAAAAAAAATCCCTTGCATCTCTGCAGTACATGAACATTGTACCCATGTCCCCATTAAAAATGCTGAAAGTACAGAAAAATGCCTGTGGATCCTGGCAGAAATCCAGTGAGCTCTTACCTTCCTGCGCACCCTGCCTCTACTGCACTGTAATCCTAAGCAGTGTTAGCTGCCCTGTCTGAGTGCTCATCGGTTGGACTACAGAACACCTTCCAATTATGTTGTGCAGATGAGGAGGACAGGTGCTCTGAAGTGAAAAATTATAAAGGGCTGACAACACTGCTTGGGATTTTAGTGCAGCAGTTGCACTGTGTTGTAAGCTCAAACAGCCTCCTAGATTGTAAGCTCCAAGGAGCAGGGCCCTCCTTTCCCTCTTGTATTGAACTGTATTGAACTGTATTGTCTCCCATTATATTGTAAAGCGCTGAGCAAACTGTTGGCACTATATAAATCCTGTATAATAATTATAATATTAGGAGTGTACTGAGTTTCTAGCAGGATCAGCAGGTATTTGTCTTTACTTGCAAATTTTTAAAGAGCCAAACATAAGGAAATGGGCATATATTGCAGAAATTTTGTATGTTTTTTCCATGGCTTTCAGCTTATAAAGCATCAGTCTGACCTAACCCTTTTCTGCAATGGCCTTAGAGAAACTGTATTAAAGGATACGTTCACCTTTAGTAACATCTTACATGTTAAACCTGTATTCAGGGTGTAACACGTAACCTGTAACTAATAAAGTCCCCCCCGATCTCCCACTGTGACAGCGGGTGGGGAATCCTCTTCCTACTGTCAAAATTTAAAAACATTGTGACACTTCCCGCCCACACAGCCACATCATTCATTCACAGAGATCTGTGAAAGAATGAACTAGAAGTCCCATCTGCCACTGTGGCAGATGGCTTATAGTTCTCAATGAACTGCAAGGGTGCAGGTGAGCGCTCTCTTAATTAATTAATTCGTCCTGCTTTTCAATAACTGTCTGCCCATAGGGGAGGTATGGGCAGGAAGCTGTACTGACAGTCTGCAGGAACCCGACATTGCACCCACAGTCGGCTGAATGCAAGTGCAATGCTCTGCAGGCTCCTAAGAAAAAAACCCCAAAAAAACCCCAAATGAACATCTTCTTACCTGCAAAAAAAAGTGCATTTATTATTTCTTTGAAAAAGGCGCACTTATCCTTTAATACCTGTTCACTTTCTGGCAGGAAATTTACATCAAACGTACATACATCAGCCCTTTGATGGTAGTCATGTTTACACAGATCAGTGGATTATTAGTGCTTTTTTTCATATTCCTTTTATTTGTCAAGACCTCCACTATATTTGTAAAGTTGCCTTATTCACTTGAACAAAGGGTTTACCTTCACCGAGATCTTTGCATTTCAACTGCTCTTGTCTCCTTCGCAAAATAAAACAATCGCCTGACAATGGGGCCCTCTCTCTACATGTGTGTGAACATGCCTGGGTGTTTCAGGACTGGAAACTCCGCTAAGATTTGTACATAGGATGGTCCGCGGACTGATTGCATGTCTAGAGGAATGCAGTAAAAGCAAAGTTTACACTGTGAAAATACTCTGTGTGGGAAAAGCAAGAGCCAAGTGTATGCAAACTAAAATAGTCAGTCATCCCTCTTACTTGGTTAACCCTTTCCTCCTCTGTACTACTCAGCAGTGCTTAATAGAATGTAAACTTTTTTATTTTCTCATTACTAAGGTCAAGATAAAGAAAAAAAAAACAAACGAAAACAACAAGTATAATGTTATACAGTATGACCATGCAGGTTATGAATAGCTGTTAGGCTCCTTTAGACTCTTCTAACCATAACCTGTTTGGTTTGACTAACTTGTTGGGTCCCAAACCTTACTCCATAGAAGCCAAGGCTTCCATACACTGCACAGATGATGACCAAAAAGCCTGAAATAGCTGTATGCAGTGTGGAATAAATGACTATAATATTAGGTTATACACTATGACCACACACCATAACCTGTTCATGCATGGGCTCCACTGGACCTCTAAAGCTTTGAGTAGTATCTGGCACCAAGCTGTCAGTAGCAGATACTTTAAGTCCTGTAAGTTTTAAGGTGGGGTCTGCATGGATCAGATTTGTTTTTCCAGTACATCCCACAGATGCTCGATTCGATTGAGATCTGGAGAATTTGGAGGTCAAATCAACAATTCAAACTCTTGTGTTCCTCAAACCATTTTTGAACTGATCAGACTAGTCTATTGCTTTGTGGTCTAGTACTGATGCCCACCTGCCCATTGAAGGCACTTTTAGCTGAGGAAATGGATCAGTTGTGGATCTGCAGCCCCATATGCAACAAACTGCAATGCACTGTGTGTTCTGACACCTTTTTATCAGAATCAGCATTCATTTTTTCAGTAATTTAAGCTACAGTAGCTCTTCTATTAGATTGGAGTACATGGGCCAGCTTTCGCTCTTCACATGCATCAATAAGCCTTGGCTGCTCATGACCCTGTTATTAGTAACTTGGTTTTCCTTCCTTGTACCCAGGGGCGGACTGACAACTCATGGGGCCCCCGGGCAATAGGGGATCATGGAGCCCCTGTGTGCTTGCCCAAACTCAAAAAAGCCTATGAAAAAGGTACCAGGGGCATCTCATGGGCCCCCTACTGACACGGGCCCTCGGGCAGTGCCCAAGGGCACATGGGCCAGCTTTCGCTCTTCACATGCATCAATGAGCCTTGGCTGCTCATGACCCTGTTATTAGTAACTTGGTTTTCCTTCCTTGTACTCAGGGGCGGACTGACAACTCATGGGGACCCCGGGCAATAGGGGATCATGGGGCCCCTGTGTGCTTGCCCAAACTCAAAAAGCCTATGAAAAAGGTACTAGGGGCATCTCATGGGGCCCCCTACTGACCCTGGGCCCTCGGGCAGTGCCCGAGCTTCCAAATGGTCAGTCCGTCCCTGCTTGTACCACATTTGGTAGAACCTGACCACTGCAAACTGGAAACAACCAACAAGAGCTGCAGTTCTGGAGATGCTTTGTCAAAGTTTCTCAAATCCTTACACTTGCTCATTTTTTTCTACTTGCAATACATCAATTTCAGGGACAACATGTTTACTTGCTGCCTAATTTTTCCCACTGACTTTCATGTGCCATTATCAGGAGATAATCAATGTTATTTAGTTTACGTGTCAGTGGTGTTAATATTATGGCAAATCGTTTTATTTGCACTATACCCCTGCTGTTGTAAATGTGCATCTGGCCAATGAGGCATAAAGGAACGATTTGCATGGCTCCTCTACTGTCCTGACATGATGAAGATTCCTGTTATTTTTGGGATATTTGATAGAATGAGATAGATGGATGCCTCCTGTTTTTTGAAGGCTTTATTGTACTCGGTTGGAGAGCTTTTTCTTTCCTTAGTCCCTTCCCACCGTAACTGTGTTTCTATGTATAGTTTGTATTTATATAAGTATACAGCATGATGTTCACCAGCTTCACTTATTAACCCTGCATTCTCTGTTTCTTGCTTGTTAATGCAGTAGAGCAATTGTGCTATATCAGCCGTGCCCACAATGTCCCCATACCCTCTTCTGCAGAATATCAAACTCAGCATCACCAATCCTGGTTGGCACCATTAAGACTTTAATATATGTCGATACTTTTCCTCTGCCTAGCAGCAATAAAGTTGTCGGTTTGAAACCCAATCACAGCTCTACTGCCTGGAGTTTGCATGTTCTCCCTGTGCCTGCATGGGTTTCCTCCGGGTACTCTGGTTTCCTCCCACTTTCCAAAGACATGCTGGTAGGTTAATTGGCTCTGTCCAAATTGGCCCTAGTATGCGTATGTATGAATGTAAGTTAAAGCAGTAGTAAACTCTTTTTAAAAAAAAGGTTTCCTGCTGCAAGGTAATATCATAATGTGCTACATACTAGCATAGGCAGGTGGTGCCATGGTTGGGATTTGAATCAATGACCCTAGTACTGCTAGAGATTCATTCTAGGCATGGTATATTTTTATATTGGTCCAATGTAACTATATACATATTGTCTTACCTGGCTGATGTACCTGGAAGTTGGAAATCACTGTAGTAGACACCACTACTCCAGTGACCTCCACTTGCTTCCAGGGCCCATGTTGAGGTACTGGCCTGATGCATCGTGAACACAGGCGATAGCCGTTCAGTACAGTGCCATTCTGGGAATGCTTTGCATTTGCTGAATGAATGCAAAGCATTTGTTGGTTGGATGAGGTGGAGAGCCAGAGCAGTGAAGGCACCTGTGTGAGTGGTCAACCTCCTGTGTTCAGATTAAAGCTGGGCATTAATAATAATAGTAATAATAATAATGATGATGACTCCTGTGAGACCTATGAGTAACAGGAGCTCTTGCTTCCCTGGCAACATGCTTGTTTTTGGTCAGTGACTAAGGAACTGTTGAGGGCAGCAACAGCTAACCTGGATTTGATTTGAAATTAGCCTCATGCAGTCCTCTGTACAGCTGAGCTTAGACTGGGACAGCTTCATGCAGCACAATGAGCCATTCAATATGCTGTAGGGCTCATGTGCCAACAAGCAGTGGCGTCCCGAGGCAGGTGCGGTCCGCACCAGGTGACACTGACTGCACCGGGTGACACTGACCGCACCGGGTGACACCGAACCCGCTCCACGACAAGGTAAGTTGTAAAGCAAGCCGACAATCCCCGCAGGATGGATCCGATCCATCCTGCGGGGATCGTCGGCTTTCTTTACAACTTACCTTTTCTTGGAGCGGGTCCAGTGTCACCCTGTATAGGTTGCATGCCGACGATCCTCGTCGGCATGCAACCTATACGGGGTGACACCGGACCCACTCCAAGAAAAGGTAAGTTGTAAAGAAAGCCGACAATCCACGCAGGATGCATCGGATATGCGGATTGAGCATAATGGATCGGACTCCGATCCATTATGCTCAACCCAATCCATTATGCTCAATCCGCAAATCCAATCCATCATCGGAGGGGGGTGTCACCAAGAGTTACCGCACCCGGTGACACCTACCCTAGGGACGCCTCTGCCAACAAGGAATATGTTGATTGTCCAGTCATAGGCTTGGGGAGGGGAATGAAGACCTGCTTCTCCTTCCACTGTCCAGTCATAGGCTTGGGGAGGGGAAATAGGTGGTATTTAACTGCGGCAAAGAGAAATCAGGTCTCCTGCCCTTTGAGACAGGACTGTGCTGGGGGCAGAGCTGTGTATGTCTCAGGATTGGATGGACAGAAATGTAGATGAAGCAGCTCCATCATATGTATTTCATGTGTACAATTCGCTGTTTGCCTGGAGTTCATCTTTAATGCTCGCCGTCTCAGTTTCACCAGTCTTGCATCCTGCTGGCATTCGAGAGGCTTGTACAGGATGCCCCGGCTTGTGGTTTGTAAGAGGAGATGTTGAGTTAATCTCAGCTGAGCATGTCGCCGACAGAAAAATTAAACACAAGAGTGTTTAAACAAGTTATATACCTTTCCAACACATGACGAACGAGCACAAGCTTCATTTTGCTGCTACTATTTTAATCACACTGCCAGCCATGTAGACTTAACATAGTATTCTGAACTCACTGTATACTCATGGGCAGATTTAAAGCCGAGCTCCAATAAACACTCTTTAAAAACTCTTTAGACAACATATTTGATAGATTGTGAACAGGGTTAACTTTTTTTTCAGATTTTTTTTTTTAGTTCCCTCTCCGTAACAGTTTTATTTTCTGTTATTTTTCTACTTCCTTTAACATAGTGAAAATACTGTTGGTTCTGCAGTAAAATCGCAGCTGCGTCATCACTCTGTGGACAGGGTAGACTTCGTGTAGTGTATACTTACCTCAGTCCAAAGCACCTAGTGTGACTCCTGTCTCCTCTCGCTTTCCTCTGCTACATGCTTGAGTCACTTCTGATAGGTTATCCTGACACCACAAAATCCTGGGAGACAGACCTGCCAGCACACAGAAGGTGACTGACAGCCTCCGCTGAGCATGTTTCCCTACAGAAACAGTGCAGAGGGGTGTGTGTGTGTCTATTTTCTCAACTCAGATCTCAGATTACACTAAGCCAGGGGTGTAAAACTCAATTTCATGTCAGGCCACATCAGCATTATGGTTGCCCTCAAAGGGCTGGTTGTATCCGTTTGATGCTGGAGTGTGAAGCTGCAGTTGAACACAGCCCCCTAATCATGTCTTCTCTGCTTTTTCACAGGTAAATGCTGCTCTCATCTGCTCTCATCTCCACCTTAAACTGTAATTTCTGCAACGCATAGACTTCTGTTAACTAATAATGGAATCTTCTACTTCTCCTACCAGTCCATCCCCCACAGTTACTACCTTTTGTACCACTAGCCCCTCCCTCTTAGATTGTAAGCTCCAAGGAACAGGGCCCTCCTAATCCTCTTGTATTGAACTGTACTGTTGCTGTATTGTCTCCCGTTATATTGTGAAGCGCTGAGCAAACTGTTGGTACTATATAAATACTGTATAATAATAATAATAAGACTAGATGTCTAGAGCACCCCACCCCTCCTTACATCACAGCGCACCTTCCCTTACCTGCTGGAGGCAGAGCTGGGAAGCAGAAAGTGCAGGGTCTGGAGGAGGACCAGAGGAGGGCTGGAGCTAGCTGAATGGTAAGACCAGGGGAGTTGGAGATGAGGGGGTGCTGCGGCTGCACAGAGAGGTGCAGGATCTGTAGCAGGATTTTTGTCCTCCTCTCTGCTGCCAACTGCTGAAACCAGGGGTGGGAGGTTACAGAGCCTCTCCGCGGCTGCATGGAGAAGTGCAGGATCTGGCGGAGGAGTTCTGTACTCCTCTCCTCTGCTGATTGCAGTGATGAAGGGGGTGCCACCTATCTGTGTAACTGTCATTTTTAAGTTTTATTGGAAATAACTGTAATTTTTGGAAAAAGAGTATACTTATGCTGGTGCATTAGCTTTGTGGTGTTGAGCATATTATACAGGCATGGTCCACTGGCATCCTTAGGAAGCCCATCCAGAGAATGTATGTAGACAGGAAGTAGCTGCAGGAGATCAGCAGAGCTAGTATTATAAAAAAAATAAAAAATGAAAAAAAAAAAAAAAGGTTCATGTTTATAATACACAGTGGTTTAAACATGCACTGGGGTGTATTTACTAAAAGAAAATAGACTGTGCACTTTGCAAGTGTTGTTGCACTCATTTTCCCCAGAGCATAGTAAATGTGGTAAAGCTCTGCTGATTTCCATCATCCAATTATGCTTTTTTAAAAAAAATGTTTGCACCTGATTGGGTACTTTTTAAAAAGTGGAGCATTATCATATTTACTACAGAAAATGAGTGCAACGACTCTTGCAAAGTGCACTGTCTATTTGCCTTTACTAAATCAACCCCTATATGTCCTTTGGTTATAGTTTACATCTACTTTTCAGCCAAAAACTTAAATAATTGTTTTGAGTGGACTGGCTCTATAAGGTGGCCATAGACTTAAAGTGGTTTTAAATCCTTACCTATACCCAGTGAAGTGACTGGGCTTAGGTGATAGACAGAGAAGAAACAAATCCTCCTACGTAAGTTGTACCTGTCTATCTTCAGTCTTCTCTTCTCTACATCTATTCAAAGTGCTGAATTTATAAAGCTTGTCTGAGAGTTCCGAAAAAAGGAGGTGGAGAGCTGAAATTACACTCTGCAGAGCTCAGTGAGGAGAGCTCTGAGAGAAGATTGGATGGAAGAGACCCCCCCCCCTCCTCCACACAGCATACAGTAACAGAGCTGCCAATCTGCTGATGGTCCCTCCCCTGTCACCATTTTTTTTCTTGGTGTCAGGAAAACTTGTCAGAAGTGATTCATGCTGATAGCAGAGGAATGAGGCAGCAGACAGAAGTGACACTTAGTGCTCTTAATGGAGACACGTACACACTATAGAGGGATATGCTTTGTTTATATTTCATGTCTGAGTTATACAACTGCTAAGAGTTGGATGCATTGGGAGAGGCTTGTTTAATGGCCTTGCATAAACTTACCGTT